TGAAAAGGAGCCCTGGCAAACATTCTAAGCAACAAAATTGTTGTATTAGCTCAGACTTTTGATTCTTCCAGTCCAGTACTCTGTGAGGGATACAGTCATCAGTGGGATGTGGTTGGGGGGGTGGATTCCATGATGATAATTGTAGGCACATGTCTACCTTCTTTTAGTGTTCATTTATGCTCTCTTGTTGATAACTGGTGTCAAGAAATCATTAAAAATGATGATAGATAGATAGATAGATAGATAGATGATAGACAAAAATAGATTTTCTGATTACATCCAAGAGATTTTCACACATTAGTACCACAAGTAGAGTTCAGGCCAAGATGTTTCTTATCTGGATTTCTGGAATAATTACTTAAACATTTTCTCACCTCCAGTCTAAGAATGGCTTAAAAAGTCTGCCAGGGTCTTTCTTCCTCTACTGAAATTATGATAATGATTCTCCTTCATAAAACTCCTTGTGATGCCCCATTGCCCTCATGGCACATTCCAAACACTTTCTCTCCCCATTCAAAACTTTCTGCCATGTGGCCATTTTTATGTTCTTCCACACTTGACATTTATTCATATGTCATCACCATGTGTATCAAGGTATATGGATCTCCTTATTTTCACAAGTTGGAAGGGTCCTGAGGATAGGAACTACATCTTAAATTCATCTTTGTATCCCATCATCCAGAAAGGGGTCAATTAATAATTACCCAGTTAGCAAATGAGTATATTCAGCTAGAATCTCTCCTACCGAGATCTTTATTTTGTAGAAGATGGAAGTATGCTTAATTAAATAAAATAAATTGAGGAACATAGACATCCTCAGGAAAAAGCTAAGCATGATATAATGAAAAAATATTTTAGGGGCACCTGGGTGGCTCATTGGTTAAATGTCTGCCTTTGGCTCAGGTCATGATCCCGGGGTCGTGGGATTGAGCCCTGGGTCAGGCTCCCCTCTTAGCAAAGAGTCTGCTTCTCCCTCTCCCTTTGTCGACTGCTCCCCTGCTTGTGCTCTCTCTGTCAAATAAATAAATGAAATCTTTAAAAATATGTATTTTATTATCCACAAGGTTATATTGAAAAAAATTTTTAATGGCCCCACTTTTTGACAGTTTGCCTTATATAGGTGCTTCTTACCTACTGTCACATCTGTTTTCCTACCATAGCCCCTGAATTTTAAAACTACTTAGTTCTCAATGGTTAGCTCTCTTCTGCTCTTAGCTCCAAGATCTTTGAGACTCATCTTTGGCTTTAGGGTAGGTTCAGGATGGAATGACTATGAATATAACCTAATTAGCAATTTCATCACAACTTTCTTACTTGTACCCAATCTGCTTTGAGAGCTAAAACATGTAGGGAAATACCATCCACACTGACAGAAAGCATGACAGAGTTCTCCTAACTTTTCTGGTTTTTCCTTTTCCAAAGTATAATTCTCATGCAGCTGACTTGATTGACTTAATCAAGAGTAAACATAGATTGAAAGGAGGGTTTTTTAAAAAGCTTTATTTATTTATTTGAGAGAGAGAAAGAGAGGGAGTGGGGGAAGGGGCAGAGGAAGAGGGAGAGAGAAGCAGACTATCCGCTGAGTGCAGAGCCCAACACAGGGCTTGATCTGAGGACTCTGAGATCATGACCTGAGCCAAAATCAAGAGTCAAATGCTTAACTAACTGAGCCACCCAGGCACCCCAGGAGGGTTTTTTTTTTTTTAAATAGAGAAGAAAAGGAGATAGTTATCTAATTTGTGCACGGCATCATATGACACTGAAGAAATAAAACCTTCGACTGAGGGGATTTGAAAAAGATTATTATATATAAGAATGGAAATATTAAAACATAAATTTGAGAATTACATGGAAACACTATGAAATTTCATAAGTAAGCATATGCTGTTATGACTTACATTCGTATTTCACGGAATCTTAAACATTTGGCAGCACCTTAGGATTTATCTAGTATAGTCAATTTTTGTGTTTCTCAGGAAACTAGGTATTCTAATCAGCCAGAGTTGTAGGAAAAGAAAGTGGGGGGAGAAGAATCTAAAAAAAACTACTCTTGGGGTCCCTGGGTGGCTCAGATGGTTAAGTGTCTGCCTTCACTCGGGTCATGATCTTGGGGTCTGCGATCAAGCCCTGCACTGGGCTCCTTGCTCAGCCTGCTTCTCCCTCTCCCTCTCTCCTCCACTCGTGCTCTCTCTTTCTGTCTCTCAAATGAATAAGTACCATCTTTAAAAAACTAAAAAAAAAAAAAAAAACAAGTCTTGTCCTAGACTTGACCACAGACTAAACCTGTGGAGCTCTTGTTTTATTTGCCATTCCTAATGTTGGGCTTCCTCCTGAGAATAAAATAGCAAAGACCTTTCAGGGACCTAGAAGGCTCTGCAAATTTGTCCCTGGCCCACCACTCCAACTTAATCCATCTTGACTTTCTCCTTCCTCCAGTACTCCAGGTTTCTCAAACACACCCAACTCTTGCCTTCAGCAGAGATTTGTCCTTGTTTATTCTGTCCAGAATATCTTCCCTTCATATTTTCACAAATGCAACTCATTCTCATCATCGGCTCTCAGCTTAAGTGCCATCTCTGCAGAGTGGCCCTCCCTGATGTCCTAGGTAAAGGGGTGTCCCTCAGTCCTCATCTGAATCACCCCATTCTTAATCCCGTCCTCCAAGTAGAGAGACACATAGCTCTTCCTCTAGGATGAATGTCTTGTGACTGTGAGAACCAAAACTAGTAGTCTGGTTAACTGAACCCATTTTACCCCTCCTAGAATCTCTGTAAAGATTTTGGTTTAAGGAAATTTTTTTAAAAGCAGGCAATTCACATGGAAACATGTGGTTCAGGATGGAAGCCAAACTTGTGATCAATATTTATGGGGAAGCACAAGGTAAGAAAAGGATAAATTGTGGAAATAAACTTAAAAAAAATGGTCTCCAAATTTTTTCCCTGTGTATGTGGTCCTTTGATTAAAACAAATATGGTGCAGTACTTGTTTCCTTATAGGATCTCATAGATGAAAGAGCCAGACAATCAATGAGCAGTTTACAAATAGCATGGTGTCCTCAGAGTTGTGTTAATTGCTGGATGAGATACAAGCATTCCCTTCTTCACTTAACAGATATTTACTATGGCCCCCAATATGTGCTGTGTCTCGATCACCCTCAATATCTATCTTTGTCTTCCTGAAGCTTTTAGTCCAGAACAATGATAAGAATTGGTCCCATCCCAGCAATGCGTTCATTAGACAAAGCAAGGCGAATGCATGTAAGGTCATCAGAAAAATGTAAAGTTCTAGATTGTATGATATTAGCCAGAATAATTAAGGATTTTATTTTTTAGAGATTTTATTCTTTTACTTGAGAGAGAGAGAGTCTGCGCATGGGTGAGGGGGGCCGCACAGATGAAGAGGGAGAAGCAGACTCCCCGCTGAAGCAGGGAGCCCATGTGGGCCCTGACATGGGACTCCATCCCAGGACCCTGAGATAATGACCCGAGCCAAAGGCAGAAGTTTGACCAACTGAGCCACCCAGGTGCCCCAATTAAGGACTTTAATACAGAAAAATATGTCAAAGGCTTCAAAGAAGAAGCCTAGGTTTAATGTCTGTGTACCTGCAGAATGATAGTGTCCCTGACAGAGGAGAGAATACTCAGGAAATCCAAGGTGATATCCAGGAAGAGATAGGTCTGTTCTGAACATCCTGAGTTTGGGTGATGACTGACAGTAGAGTGCAAGGGGACATCCGAGCAGGCCTGGACTTGGGGAGGTTTGGGGTTGGAGACAGAACTTTACAAATGAAGCAACGTTAAGTAAACAGCGTTGCTAGGTATCTGGAACTTAACAGGAGTTCCAAAAATATTTGCTGTTACAGAGCATACGACTCAGTTTTAAATACTAACTCCATGACAGGGGAAATGCAAGCTAAATGGGCGGGCGGGCGGACTGGATGCGAGAACGCAGGTGTATCTGAAAGAACCGGGAAGCAGAGGTGCTGACACGCCTCATACCCATAAAATTGATATACAGGGGATCGCTGTTAAGGATGGAGAAGAGAAGCAGGGCAAGTTCCACTGACAGAATAAGAAAAAAATGAAAACGAACGTACTTGGAATTCACCTTCCTGGCCCTCACGACAGAACACCTCGCCATCAGGTTAAATCAAGCACCTGAGCAGAGGAAAAGAAAGCGTGTTCAACTGTCCCGGCTGCGGCGCGTTCTCCAAGACCAGATCCCCTTCCCCACCCCGCCAGGGTCCTCCATCCCGCCGCGCGCGTAAATCATGCACCTCAGAACTTTTGCATTAGAGAACCCAGCAGGGGAGAAAATTCTCTGCAAGTAAAGAAAGTAGAACTAGGGCAGTCCGAGGAGATTGAAAGGGCAAAACTATCACGCAAGAAAACTGTAAGTTCTGATTAGTTTTATGACTTTGCCTTCATGCCTCAGGAGCTCAATTGATCACGGCTTCTACGACAGGTTGGGGCTGGGAGGGGAGGGCGCTTGAAGAAAATTCTCAAAACTCTCCTCCAGCTTCGCGCTTTCAGATGCAAATACCTGGCGGAGAGATGGATGGGCCGCAGCCCCTCCTACTTTCCCCGCTCCCCTTGATTTCCCTGCGAAGGACTCCATCTGTACGGATCTGTCAGGAGGGCGCTGGAGGAGGGGTGCGCGTGTGTGCGCGCGCGTGTGTGTGTGCGCGTGGCGGCTGAACGGCTTCCTTTCCAATAGCCCTCGCTGGGTCTCCAGGAGGTGCCCAAGTCTCAGTGGCTCCCCGGGCCGGTGTCGCCTGGCGCTGACAGCAGGCATCCGTCGCCGCCGACCACCCTCGCCTTCTCCCCGCTCCTTCCCGCCCCGGCCCGGCGCCCTCTTTCCTTCTCTAGGGCGCTCGCCCTCTCGCCCTCTCTCCGGACGCGCGCTCCCGCTCGCTCCGGACCTGGCGTCTGAGCCGCGCGGGAGAGCCGGCCGGCCCCTTGGAGCCGGCGGAGGCGGCGGGCGGGGGGCGCCCGCGGCCGGGGCAGTGGCCCCGCGCCCCGCGCCCCGCGGCGAGGGCTGTGATTGGAGCAGGAGCCCGCGCCCGACCAGCCGCAGAGGGTGCGGAGCGGGCGCCGCCAGTCCGCCCGGAGCGCCGAGCTGCGCGCACCGGGTCCCGAAGCGCCCGCGGGCGCCCGGCTGCTGAGCGCGCGCCCTTTCGGCTGCAAACACCCGCGTCGCTAGCGCCGGACGCCGCCGGGAGGGCAGCGAGGCCCCAGGTGAGTGCGTCTGCCTGCTGGGGGCTGCGGAAGGCGCCGCTGGGCAGAAGCGCGCCCTCGGCGTGCGCATCTGAGGCCGGACTCATCAGTGAGCGGAAAGCGGGCGGGGGGATCCGTGTGGAGTTTGCCTTGGCGTCCCCAAGTTTCTGCCGTGGGGCCGTGAGACGTTGCTTGGCGGGGCAGGACAGACGTGCGTACCGAGCTGAGGGCGCTCGGCCCCGAGAGAGAGCCTGTGGTGGCAGACACCAGGTGCGGCGAGTGCTGGCGAGGTCAGGGTGAGAGCAGCTCCCAGCGCGCTCCAGATGACGTGGTAAACCCAGAGTCTGGACCGCTCTCCTCAAAGAGGAACACGAGTGGGCCCCCCGGACCCGGGATGGTTGGGGGCAGAACTCCGCGCGGGCTGGGCCGCCAGGTTCTGCCGCGGTCCGAGACTGGAAGGGGGTGTGTGCCTGCGTGTACAGGAGTCCTTTTAACCGTCCGCGCTAGACTCCTTTTACCTTTGGAGAAGGTGGAACTCATCTAAGGGTGTTTTGCTTTTTCCTGTAATTAGTATTCTGCTGCTACGGCGCATCTACGGGGCTTGCCTCTGCGCAGCGCCCTGCTTCCCCTCCGCCTGGCTGTACCTTAGGTTTGCGTTGGGAAAAGGGCGCCCTGTTTCTCTGAATGCATGGTGGACTTCTTCGTGGGTGCACCTGCTACACGGCTAGTTGCTGGTATTCAACCTCCGAGCGTGGATTAATGAGAAAGGACCTATCGCTGTATTGCCTTCACGTTTTAGATCGTTAACCTTACGGATTTCTTAGATATAGTTCAGGTGAGTAAGGATTGGCAGTGAGTTCACCCAGCAGTGGGCATTTGGGAATCTGTGAAGAAATCATCAAGGAGTGGGTGTCTCAAGGCTTTGGAGATCTGCAAATTGAACCATGAATATACCTAAAACGCCTTTTATGTTGCAAGAAATATCTTCTCTTTATTAGATCATTTAAATGAAATCTCTTTAAGTAGGACTCGTCCTTCGTAATTCCTGTAACCAGACAGGTGTTCAGGTCATTTTCCATACAGAAGTAGATAAACAGAACTTTATTGGGGGGAAAACAGAAAAATGTAAATAACATGTGAGTATGTGGCTGATACTAAGTGACAAGTATACATTTAAAAATCAAATTAACAGCACAAAAACATACATTTTTAAAGAGGTTAGGGGCAGTAGCACCCCCCTTTTTTAAAGGAAAGTTTGCATTGATACACTGTCAACAACATCTAAATAGTTTTAAGTGTGTCTTTATAAAGACAAGTTGGTGTTGCGGCGGGGAGAGCTAAGGAAAGAAGTAATTACACTGGAAGCTTCCAGTAACTCACCAGAAATTACTTTTTTTTCCCCAGAGAACTGGTTAGACTTTGTTTACCCAAGCTCTTGTTACTATATGTTAAAGGAAAATACATTAAGAATCTTTTTCTTCATTTTTAGGATTATTTGGAATAGTATGAATAAAAATGCCAAAGAATTGAGGCAAGTAGTAAAACTGGCAACTTTGTGAAAGTCTTGCTTGTATGTTAGTGTTTAATATGGAGTGGAGTGGCAGAAACAGTTAGATAGCATTCAGTGTTAATAGTCTCATCTGGCAAAGTCTGTGGTTAGAAAAATAAAGAAAACAATAATCAGTAGTGCGGACCATCACGGTGCTAAGCTATTACGGTTTGCAGCTTTAATAAAAGGGCATTGTGCGCTTACAACGTGAGATATTATTGTAATTAAGGGCTGCAATAAGGTCATTAGAATTGTGTTAACAATCAGCTAACAGACTCACCACTCTTCTTAAGTCTACTTTTTATATAATAGCACAGAGATTTTTCCTTTTTTATAAAAGGGTGATTGTAAAGCGTCTGTGTTACTGCAGTTTACCCTTGAATTGACTCTAGTTTTTGGTGTCCAATGAAAAAGAAAGGGTAGGGAGCATACTGAGTTTTGGCTACTCTTCAGTCTTCCTAGATCTAAAAATCAACCCACTGTGTCTCCTCAGGAGTGATTTCTTTGCTGGTCGACCGATTATTCAGCATTTTAGTTGTTTCGACGGCAAAGCTGTTACAAACTTCTCAGAATGTATGCTGATATGAGGAAGTGAATACATCTTGGTGTAGAGTCAAACACTTTCTTTGTCAAATCTTTCAGAAATCTTTTATAAAGTACTGACCCATAAATTGTTCAGTGTTGTGAATATTTATGCTTGAGTGATCTTTGCTTTCCCTGATTTTATAAGGTTTTGCGTTTATTGTGTTAGTGGTTTGTAGCATATCACGGTTCTCTCTCACATACACATAAATATTCCTTTTTTTTTTTCTTTTTTCTTGGTTGGAAGGCTTCAAAGTCTTAGTTTAAAATGGGAGTTTCAGAAACTTCTAAAATAACTAATGCACATTAGTGTATTGCAAATGGATTGTGATGGAGGCTTTTCTCCTTGGCATGGAGGCCTCCCTTGCTTCTAAATGGAGTGATAAAGGGGAGCTGAGAACAAGGAAAAAGAACATGTGATCAGAGTCCTGTGTGTGACCGTCTTCTCAGCCTCTGACAAGCAGAGCAGATCTAGCTGTAACCAGCAGTACTCGAGTGCCTCCTCTGGGGATTTGCTGGTTTTGCAGAAAGCTACCCCTGCAAACATTTCCCCCTTGTCGTTCTGCAAGATCCCTCGCTGACAAAATTATCAGTGCAAATGACTATGCAGACATCTGTCCACATATTCATCTCAGATTATACTCTAGATTTTCATTCTGGTAGAATTTCTTTTAGGTTCTTTTGCACAATGTTTATTGAAACATAATTCCTTTTATTGAAGTCACATGAATCATACCTGGCTCAATGTAAATGCTAAGGTAAATTAAAAATTGAAATTGATAGAGCTGAGATATGTTGTTGAGATATGTTGATATGATATGTTGTTGAAGAACAAAGGAAAAACACTTTGAATATAATTTTTCTGTTATAATTGTACATACATATGTATAGTACATATATTATATATAATACTGCATATGATATTATATAAGTAGCTCAGAAGGATGTGGTTTTTCATTCTTGTTTGCTTTTAATTTACATGGGCTTCTTCCAGTTAATTATAAACTCTTGCTCCTCTTCGTTTTTCATTCCTTTACCTATGACAGAAGTTATTTGTGCTTAGTTAAAATTGACTCTGCAGTCCACTTAGAGAAGTTTTCATTCCATGTCTGATAGCCAGATGCACACTACAGGCTGTGTGATTCATTTCCAAGGCCCCTGCCTGAATATTTAGGCCAGTTAACGGTAGGAGGCTGTGGTCTGTGGTTGTAATGTTATCTGGCCCAGGGAGCTAATGGATTTGATCACAGTTTCTTTATGTGAGAAGTCACATATCACAGAGGGTCCCCAGCCTCACTAATTAAAATGTAAAAAATTAGACCTTTTAAGTAAAAAAGAGGGCTGTTTCATCAGTATTAACATTATTGAAGCTAATATTAAACTTTCAATGGTATACAGATAAATTAAGTAATAGAAGCTAAAGATGGAAATATTAAATCTAGAATGATTAGGAGCAGACAGTCCTTTCAAAATATAGGATTTGTAGCAACAACCAAATAAACTTATATACATATACATCCTTATATCTGAAGATATTTTTTGAGTTGGTACCCTATTTCTGAAACAGTGAGCTATTGTTTACATTTCAGTGGAAACAGTTACTATAGTGTTATAGCCCAGTAGGTATTCTTTGATCACTCACCAGATTTAGAAGGGAGAGGCAGTTTTAAGGTTGGATCCTCCTCACAGTGCTTTTTGTGTATCAGATGAATTACAATCCTAAACAACAGATCCCTTCACTCCCAATCTCACTCTGTACTCCTGACCCTTCTGGATAGGAATCCTGATGATCTACTTGGAGAAATCAAACTCATGATCATATAGAAATTTGAGTAGGAATAAATTTACTTTTCTTGGCTTTTGGAGAAATACGATAAAAAAAAGATCTTTAGTGTCAGCATGAGAAATGTTTAACAAACTTTTTCAGTTTTCTGTTGTAACCAGTCACGCCCAGTGCCATCAGGAACTTGCTGTGTGACTTTGGGCATTTCACTAGAATTCTGTAGATTTTGGTTTTCTTAGCAAAGAAAGAAGAGACTGCCTTACCTTAGGTTTTTCTAATGTCTGTGCTGGTTCTGTGGTTCCACCACTCTTCAAACATCAGGAGCAGTGGGTTTAGGGACTTCTTTACATTGTTTTGTTTTTTTGTTTTGTTTTTCTTTTCCCAACATGAACCCTCAGGAGAGGGGTCGATTACCTTTTTCAGCACCGACGTGACTTTCTCTCTATCCCATAAACATTATTCTTTTAAAAGCTCTGCTTGTATGTGGTGGTTGGGAAAAAAAAAAAAAAAGTGTGGCCACCGCTCTTGAAATACTCCTTGTCCTGGATTACTTTCTGTTGTGGAGTTATGACATCTGCTCACTCATGAATGGGAGATTAGAATACCTTTTCTCTCTTTTGCATTGCCCAAATGCATTAAGTGGGTCTACTTTAAAAAGAAACAAAAGCAACAATGGACAAGTATTACCCTTGTTACAAAGCAGACTCCCCTAACTTTGTATACAGAGATAAATCGCAGTGAGGACCTCAGTGGTGACAGGAGGCTGCTGTCCTGGGGAAAACAAGAACAAATGACAGTCTTTAAAGAAGGCATTGGATGAAGCAGGAGGAGTCTTTTCTTTGAATTTAAATAATGCTATTAAACACTCAAGGAGTATTCTCAAAAGGCATCTTTTGTCAGCCTGTACAAAAGAACTAATATATGGAAGGTTGTTCTTAAAGCAATGGTAATATTGTCATCATGCCCTCTAACCACTGAAATGGTATCATTTCTGCTTTTGAACATGTATATTGTTCTCCCTCCTTAAGGATCCATTAAAAATACGTTGCTTGTCAAAATGTAGTTCAATTTTAAAACAGTCTTGGAAATGACAGTTTCTTCCCAAAA